CCAGCTTTCTGGCAGGAACATCTGCAGAAGGTGCAGTATTGGAGTACAGGTATGATTTTAGCTCCTCAGCCGTGAACGTGGGGATAACATTAATATATCCCAAAGCAATAGCCTTTTTGCTGTGCTGGTGATTAAATTGCTTTCTAGCTCACACTGTAAGATGTAAAAACACTACAGCTCTCCTTTTGTGGGAAGGTCTGTGAGGGGCTATTAAACATCACGGTCCAAATGCAATCTCCAGTTCAGGAAACTCTTTGACTGCTGTCTGCTGCAAGCTGGGAAGCAGTACGAGGGCAAGGACCATCCTGTATCTGCCCCGTCGCTTGGACGCTTCCCAGAGGAATTCGCAACTGCCCACTGTCAGACAAGACGTTGGCCAGGTGGGCCTTTAATCCAGCACAGCGTGGCTGCTATATGTTTATATTCTGAAGTTCCTTCTGGTGCCGCCTTGGTCTTAACTGAGTTGTCCAAATTGTTTGCCAGCTGGCTTGTAAACTCTGGATTCGTGTCATCTGGTTTCACTGCGTCAACGGCATGAAATGAGATGAAATACATTAACTGTTCCTCTGACCCTTTTTTTTTTTCCAGCACTGTGGGCTTCTCTGTTTCATGAGAAATGTGAGTGAAGGCTTTTAGCAGCTCGGTGTCACCTTCTGGTTTCTTCCTCCAGATTTAAGTGATGAGCCCATCTCCAGAGCTTGCCCTCTCCCAGATGGGTTTGTGTCACTGCTGCTGTTTAAACTCTGTTTGTAATGTTGTTATCTTAAAGAGCATTGATTTTTAAAAATTGTACTGCTACCCTGCATCCTGGGGTCATCTTCTCCCATGTACCTATTTCTCCACAGGCTTTAATTTCTGGTGCTTTTTAACCTTCCTCTGCAATTAAATGACTTGTGTGCAGTTTTCTTTTCGGTGTCGTGGATTTGCACCGCTTCACCTCGCTGCTTTGCACTGCGAAGTGGCATTCAGTTTATTTCAACCCATTTTCCTCCTCTTATTGTTACCTGGAGGATCTTGTGAGCTCATTTAACAGCTTTCAGCCTCTACACTCTCTACCTGTTAATATTTTTCTTTGGATTTCTAGCATCCTCTGGAGCACTGCCTCTTACTAATTGAGAGCTAATGCTAAGTAGGGCAAACATTGTAAAGGGCAGCTTTTCTGTGAAGAGCCTCTTTAATTGCTGGTGGGAGAGAGTTCTATCTGTAGTGTTTCCCTTTGCTTAACGCAGGTTCAGGTATTGCCCTTGCTGCTGGTGTGTGAAAACACTTTAATAAAGGTTGGTGCTTTGTATTTGAATGTAGTGATTAATGAAGATTAATGAAGATTCATGGTATAGGGTTATTTTTGGTATTAGGAAAAGAAACGGGCACCTGAGTGTGTGTATTTTGGTAATATCAATCTTGAGCTTGCACAAGCATTTCTGAGATGTTGGTGATTGTGTCTTTCGTTTGCTTTGAGAGAAAAGATTATGGAGACAATAGACCCAAGAGACCCTCCTGTATTGGGAAATACTAAGAAATGTCAAGTCAGTGCCTTCAATTCTTACCTGCTCGCTGGACTTTGGCAGATTTAGCACGCGGTATTCTGCATGATTGCCCAAACCTGGTACCAAGTTGTTTGAGTACGTGCTGTCTCCTGGTTTTCACCAACAGCTTTTGTGCTTTCCTCCTCTGTGTCCTGGGAACCCAAAGTGTTTGGTGGAAAACTTCCTTGACTAGACTGCAATGCTAAATCTTGTTGTCAGTTGAACTTTCAATTTATACGTGGGGCTGGGTTGCTTTTAACTAGAATGCCTTGTCTTGTTTCTCTCATCTTCCTTCTCTTTAAATCTGCCCTGTCCTTTACAGCACTCCAAAGAGCACTGCAGAGAGAGGGAACATCTGAACAATGCAACGTGCAGCCAAGAGCTTTTTAAATTTAATTGAGTTAATATCCTTTCTAAAAGAAGTTTGGCCTGAGGCTGGATGTGTGCAGGTGGGAAAGACGGAAAGACGCATCTGCTTTTCCTACTGATGTCTAATGGTTTAAGAGCAGTGCCTAGATTGTTTGGTTTTTATGATGATCAATAATAGTGATGAATTGAGTTTTCTGGCTCTTAGAGTTTTTGTCAGGTTTGTATTTCTTCTCTCTCCTGTTGGAAACATTTCCAGTCACACGGCTGGTTAAACTGTGCTTAACCTACAGTGCTGGTTTCTGACCCCTGGGGCTTAGTCGGAAAATCCTGGCTGGTGTCAGGGCAGGCAAAGTGGGTGCAGGAGGGTGGCATGACGTGTTTGCTGGCTTGGCCCTGCCTGGGGAAGAGCCACCTTCTTGTTCCTGTCTCCCCTTGGAAACCTGCCTGCATGCAAACAGGCCTTCCTTTTGTGTAAGGGCGATGTGACAGCAGGCTAAGGCGCTTCTGAAATAGAAGACGCAGGCGAGGAGTGGAACGAATATCTAGTGTCTCCGAGAAAATGCTTGGCAGTTATCATACCAAGTGATTACTTTTCAGCCAAATCAGCTCTCTGAGTTGGCTGGTCCCACAGTTTCATGTGTCAGCATGAGGAGGAGGAAGATGGGCTCCTTCCAGCAGCATCAGCTATGCCTTGAGTAGGCTCAGGCTGCTCCTGAACCCATCGGAGTGGCCTTTCCCTGCTGCTCTACTTACCCAAAACAGCGATGGACGTGACCTGCTGAACCAATCGTAACCTGAAATTGTGCCTCATTAAAAACCAGATACCCCTTAAGTCCTGGCATGGCCAGGGAAGTAAGGCACTGTTTGTTCAGAAACTTATTTCTTTGGTATGAGTCTGTATCAGGATTTAGTTTTAAACCAACAGTTTAAATTTAATCAGGCTTTTGACAGAGGCAAAGACTCTTGTGATCTGAGGACTCCTGCAGTAGTTAAGTGATTTTCCAAGAATTTTGTAGGCACTTGGATGGCACTTATTTCAGAAGGTAAAGAGTATATCTTTGTGGAGTATTTTCTACCACTGCTATCATTTAAATCATCTTACCTTGACTTTAAAGCTATAGATATTTCTGAGGAAGTTAGGCTGGTGTTCATTCCAGTTGTGCGCTGCTCATTCTGTTTGTGCTGTGGGGTTTTTTCTGTTTCTTCTGTGGAATAAGGAGAGGATTTGGTAGTTCATCATGTCTATGAAATTGGTGTCACAGAAGTGAATATTTAAATTGAAGACTTTTTTGGTGACAAACCATTTTGAAAAGTGAACAGCTTAAGAGTTGTTTCCTAAAAAATTGTTGCTAATAATGATTTTTGTAGTTGGAACATGATATTTTTATAGTATTAACTTGACCATGTTGTCCTTTTCCTTTTGCCTGCAATCTTTAAAATAAATAGTATTACTTTGCCTTATGGAAAGATAACTGGCAAAAAAAACCCCTGAATTTTAGTAATACCTGCAATCCCATAGACTTTTCTAAACGCTGGAGTTTTAAGGACAGAATGAAGTTACTCCTTGTTCTTAATCCTTTTTTTTTCTGTTCAGGATTACAGCTCCCACAACAGAATCAGACATGAAAAAGGGATTTTTGCAGCAGTGCTTTGCCTTTTCTGTATCTTAAGCACAAAGATAAGCATGTTTATGCTTGAACATGACAACACCATGGAAAGTAATTGTTGATCTGATTAGCTCTATTGAGAGGGAGCTTGCCTTCCTGTGCTTTATGGGTGTTCATCTGCCCGGGGCGGCGAAGGCTTTGCTACTAAAGCTTCTGCTTCATTTCCATTCTGCTGCTACCCAAAGGATGGAACAAGTTTGGACAGCAGACAAAAGGCAGGCCTGCCATAGTCCCTTCTGCATGTCAGATTTTGACAACTTTGTGTGTTTGAGGAAGCTGGAAGTAATAAAAGCTGAGCAGAAGAGACTTCTCAATATCTTTAGGAAGACCTGTATGCTTTTTTTTTTAACCTTGCTTGATTATTTTGTTGGTTTTGTTGTTGTTGTTGTCTTGGCTGATTTTTTTTAATGAAAAAAAAGGATTTTTATTTTCACCTCTCTTTCTTTTAATCCAGGCATTCAGGAAACCTGAAATTGAAATTGGCTTATATTGATGGCTAGATAGAGCTGAGAAGCAGACAACTGGATTTTCTCTCTCAGAAAGCAAGTATTCAGTTAAATCAGTAAATCCCCCTATGACAGTTTAATCCTAAACTGGAGCACGAAGTCTCATGCAATGAAACAAATGTCCACAACGTTAAGGAGGATTCTCAGCAGCCTCATTTAACTGCTGGAAATAAAGACATGCTAAAATGCTGCTCATTCCATAAATATTTCCCAGTTGTAAGCCATAATGGGCAAATACATCACCTTTCACCACAGCTGTGATTAAAAATGGTAGGATTGCTAAACCATCAGCACACAAAACTCTCTAAGAATTGTGCACCCATGTGAGTTAGTGTCTTTCTTCTATCCTTAACTTTTGCCACAGTTGAAATGCAAAGCTTGGGGCAATACAGCGTGATATTCTGTCTCTGTAGGGTCAAGCTTAGGAAAATCCCTTGTTCTTTAGCCGGACTCTGTATTTACCAACAGCAGTGTTGTGTGTAGGGTGTGTGCTTAACACACTCAGACCACAAGACCACCACATTAAAGGATGAAGTGTGATGGAAGGATCTCTATTTCCTTGATTAGATTTAATCTGTTTATTATCGGTCTGTAGCCCCATTTCCTCTGGGTGCCCTTTCCAGATGTATGTGTTTGGTTTCCTGACACCACTGCCCTGTGTATTACCTCACCTTTTGCCTTGTGTTTTCGGCTCTGCTTGTGCTTGCCTGCTGTGTGTCACCTTACTTTTGCTTTGTTAAGTTTGGAGGTTGGAGAGAGGTTGGGGTTTTTGTTGGATTTTTTATGCTTTGTTTGTGTTTTCTTGTTTTGTTTTGTTTTGTTTTTTTTCTTTTCAGATTGCTGAACCCTGACGGGTTCTCATCTGGGGTAAGAGAGAGCCTTTGGCCATCCCAAGACTATAATTATAAACAGAATTGTTTTTTAACTTGCAGATTTTGAGCAAATCTTTCTTGGAATAGCACTGGAGGTGGTGATTAGAGCCGAGGTTGGTTGTCTGATGAGTGTGAAGTTCTCACAGCTGTCTGGCAGAGCTGTCTGCTTCCTGCAAATCCTGTTGTACAGTTGGCTTGGAATCCATAGCAATAAAGTATCTTTTGACAAGTTCTTTTTCTTTTTTTTTCCTTCCTTTTAATTTTTTTTCTTTATTTCACCCTTCTCTGACTCCAGCACATGATCTCAGGTCCTGCCCACATGACAATAAAATAGGCCTTTTCTTTCTTCCACGGGCAGGGAGAGCATGCCTGGTTAGAGATGACTCTGCCCGATCTGTAATACTGCTTAGACAGTCTTTCATCTGGCTTATTAGATGCATGGAAGAGCAGTTTCTTGTACCTGTCCAATTTCCATTTCCAATTTCCATTCTATGGAATGGACATTTCCCAAAAGTCATACAGGAATTTTAGGACAAAACTTTGCCTAGAACCTGTTTTGAACAATGGACCCTGTATTTTATTTTTCCTCTTTGTAAGGGATTGTTCATAAAATGCTGGAGATGCTAATTTAAATTCATCCCAGAAGTTTTGCATACTGCAGAAATTTCAAGATTATTCCAGACACTTATGAGGAAAAAAAACCTTTGGAAATAGAAATGTACATAATTGGATACATGAGCAGAGATCCCTGCAAGGGCGTGTGTTTCAAAGACTCTTGTCTCTGCTTTTAGTAACAGCCCAAAAGACCTCAGGCATCTATTTAAGGCTTTTTTACTAAGGGGTACAGCAAAAACTATATATAATATAATTTAATACACCATTAATATTGATTGATACACTATTGATATCACCAAAGTATATATGCGGTGATGGAGGAATTTGTTCATCTGGCGTGAGCTACTCAGCTGACTGAAGGGGGATAGAATGGACCTGGTCTAGTGGAAGGTGTCCCTGCTGATGGCAGGGGGGTTGGAACTGGATGAGCTTTAAGGTCCCTTCCAACCCAAACCAGTCTGTGATTCCATGATTCCATGAATTTCTTCTGCAGGTTAAAGTACTGTAGGTGTGTGACTGTAAAAAAAAAAATCTTAAAAAATATATTAGTCAAATGCAAAGTTGACCTCTCTGAGTTAAGGTACTGGATTAGCCTGTAGGTACTTATATTTGGACTTGGTTTTGGTTCGTATTTTTTAGGGGAGGAGTGGGGGAAGCTGGTGTGTAAAATATCTTGGGGGTTTTTTTTAATTCATGGTTGTCTTCCAAGCAGATTGTCTTTACCTGGCACAGATTTCCAGTGTCGCTAGCAATCCAGGTCCTTCTGCAGGGTGCATGTGAATACACTGGTAAGGACTCTCAGAGGTGTTTCTTAAGAGTTACATCTGCTGCAGCCTTGTCTTTTTGCCACTTGGTGCGGCACGCAGTCGGGCAGAGTGCCTAACCGTCCTCGTAACACCGGGCAGCCTCGCTGCGTCCGGGCTTGGAACCAGGAGCGGCTGCTTGGCAGGGAGATCAAACTCTCTTCTGAGAACTGCATGGGTGTGAGACCAGACACAAGGATGGGTGCAGTTCTGGGTTTCCTTCTCTGTCCCTCAGCTGTAGCTTGCTGTGGTCTCTGCTCCTTCATCTGAGAAATCACAGAAACCAGTTGTTACAGTGCTGATGTTGTTTTCTCTTCTTGCTGCTTGAGCTATCCAGCTGTGTCTAAATGTTGGAGAAGATCTCCTGACAGTACCATAATTTGCTTTCCTTAGGTAAGGTGACCAAATTGTAGGAGTAATTGGCCAGGAGGGTGTATCTGTATTTCTGCCAGTAGAGCATGTCTTTGGTGGTGGTGGCTGTAATGTGAAATTTCCCCCCAGAATATATCAAACCATTAAAAGTGACCTTTGGTGAAGATCAGAGAATCACAGACTGGTTTGGGTTGGAAGGGACCTTAAAGCTCATCCAGTCCCACCCCCCCTGCCATCAGCAGGGACACCTTCCACTAGACCAGGTTGCTCAAAGCCTCATCCAACCTGGCCTTCAGCACTTCCAGGGAGGAGCAGCCACAGCTTCTCTGGCCAACCTGTTCCACATCCTTGTAAGCTTCTCATATCTAGCAATATCCTTAGTGCAGCTCCTAAAACACCCACTAACTGACCTTGGTGGTGATGAGATTACAGCAATTCAAACATCTCCAGTGATCAGACAACTATCATCTCCTTTAAAAGGCTGTGCAGTGTATGCAGAATGGCTCATGCAGAAAGCCAGGTGGCCAGCTGAGACAGTCACTGCCTTGAGCAATACCTGGTGGTCCTGCAGCATTCGCTACAGGAAGGACACGCGGCCGGCGTCTGCTCCTGCATGCTGCAGTCCCCAGGTGCAGCAGAGAAATTCCAGAGGTACGTTACACTGAGGTCGTGTTTCTCCCAACACAACTCTCAAATGACTTTTTGTGCATTCCCACTTTCATCCTCTTTGAGGATAGCGGCGTGTTCCAGTCCGTCATGCGTGTGGTGACAAGCTTTGGTAAGAGCTGCTTCCCCCCAACCCAACCTCGCTGCATGTCGACAGAAAAAGGGCTCTTTCTGTGAAGCTGTCAAAGAGAAAGTCTGGAGGAATATGTATCTTCTTGGTATTCTCTGGCTACTTCACTGACCAGTGGTTGGCAATCCAGCACGTTATCAGCTTGAGGCTTGGGACACATCTAGTCTAATTTCTGCTGGTGAAGGACATGAGGGCTTACATTATGTTGTGGGACAGGGAAGCAAAGACATTGTACATTTCCCATATGTGGATTTAAGTTTTCTCATTGTATAAAGGAAGGATTTTCAAACCTTTTGGTGTATTCAAATACACCGTCCAAAGGTGTATTCATCATTTACTGAAGTAATGTTGAAGCCTTGACAGTTTAAAGGTACAAATTAAGGGAAGTTTAGAAGAGGAGCCAAATTTTCTAATTTTTTTTTTTATATTATTTAGTCTGACCAGAAAGGTTTTCAGGCCAACAGCCCTTCTGCAGACTGGAAAAGAAGACTTAGATGCTGAAAGCTTGTCGATCTCTTTGCCCTCCCAGCCCCCCAGGCTCCTTGTTTATATCTGTTGGTCTAATAAAAGGTATTACATCTCCTGAAAAATGTTTCCTCACTAAACATTTAAACACACTGGTTTGGATTTGTCAAAACTGTCTAGGCGAATTAGGCAGGTTTCCATAACACTCCTGAACGGCCTTTAAATCATGAAGATGGATTTGGAAATGCTCTCCAACTTCTTTTTTTTTAAGTGGGTGGTAAAGTAGTGTGGACAATAGAGAGGCCTTTAATGTTTCACTTATTGAAAACATCTCTCATTTTGTGTCTATTTAAACACTAGTCCTGCAGCAGATGTTTGCTTTGCTTTTCTCCTTTTTAATGCATCTGGGCTTTTCAGTTATTGGAGCCTCTGCTGCATCATCATCTAGTGTTACCTGCAGCTCTTGTTGTGTGTCTTTGCAGAAATCTTTGCTTTATTTAGTGCTGTTGTCCACTGAACTCACCAAACTCTATTTTCCATTAGATAGCTGTGTGTTCCTGTCTTTTGGAAGCACTAAAACATGGTCTTAGCCAGCAACTCCTGTTGTAAAGTAGCACCAGTTCCTCACTTGCTTTACAAGGTGGTGTGCCCTGATTAGTATTTGCTGCCAGTAGACTTGATAATCCTTCCAGAACAGACACATCTATAAAATAGCTCCCAAAATACTCTGGACATTTTGCAAGACGTGTGTCCAGGCCTGGGGCTGCTCTGGTTCTGTCGTCAGCGGGGAGAAGGGCTGTGCCATGGTGTTGTGCTGTGTCCCCTCCTTCCACACACCCAGATACTCTGCAGTGTTCTGGTTCCTGGCTATTGGGGTTTAGTATTAGCTGATAAATTATATTCTTGACTACTATTTCTCAAATACTCTCTGCAGGTGAGCCTGGAAGTGCTACTTTTAAGGCTCGTGAAGCCATTAACATTCTTGTGACAAATTCTGACCTTTAAAACAAAATGCATTTGGTCATATTCACAACACCCAGGGAAGGGAGAATGTGGGAATGTTTGTGCAGCTCTGGGTTTGTTCCCTTCCAGGAACACGCTGCAGGAGAATTAAACACCCTGCGAGGAGCTGATTCTTGCTCTTCCTGCACTGCTTTTTTGTATTAACAAGCAATCTTTGTCAAAGTGAGAGCGTGCTAGAATCTGTGGTGCATGAGGCAGCTCAACTGATCTTTTTTTTAATTATTATTTTTTTTAAACCTGCTAAATGAAGGCAGGTATTAGCTGGAGCTGGCTACCTGCTGTTTGTGAAGATCTGCCTTTCAAGCAGGCAGGGATCTGCTTTTCAGTGGCACTACTGACATTACTGTCTTCTAAAATTATTTTGACAGATCTAATTTTTGGGTTTTTTTTTTCCTTCAAGTGGGTAGTTGTAGGCTCACAAATAACAGCTCCTGTGGGTGTCTCTGTGGTGCAGGCTGTAGGGTGGTGTAAAATCAGGGGCCCGAGTAGGAAGGTACGAGGAAGAAATGGGTTGTGGCAGTTGCATACATTTGCAGTCAGCTTCCTTCCCGGAGTAAAACTGTGCCTGATTCCTGAACTGAGGCGTTTCAAGTCGGTCTGAGAGCTGCTATGCTGGGCTGTAAATACCCCTGTTTGTTCTGTGTGGCTCAGACTTGTATCCCACCATCAGGGAAAAAAAACCACCACACGACTGCAGCAAGTTGCAATATAAAAGGGTTTGTATTTGCAGAAGCTGGAGGCATCTGATTTTTCTCATCCTGCTTATACAGGCTTCTTGTGAGTGCTGCTGTTTTCCAGCACTGGTTTTGACCTCAAAAAAGGCATTTGCTAGAAGTGGTTTTAATTGTACTTCTCCTGTACTTAGTTGATTTGTTCAGTCCCTAAACTTCAAAGAAGCACGCTTAAAAAAGACACAGGCACGTCTGTTGCTTTGCTTCTGTGTCCCAGTGACTTCCAGTTCCACAAGCTTGCAAGTTAAATATAAAGGGTTTTGTAAACTTTATCCAGGATCTCTGAGAAAAACTGAAAGTTTGTAGACAGAATTCCGTGGTGTTGAATATCTGTTTGAAGGTAGAAAAGAAGAGTTTTTTGAAAAGGTGCTCCTTCTTCTAAGGCATCTAGACAGAGAAGGGAGATTTTCATGGGAATTTCAGAG